CACACAGACTGTGAGCTCATAGACAAACATGAGAGATGGTACCCCGAGCAATCCGGATAGTTCATTGACGTACAGAGAAAATGACAATAAACCAAGTACCGAAGCCTGGGGAACCTCACTTAGGATTGATTGAGGAAAGGACAGCCTAGATCCACACGAACACACATCTCCTTCCATTCCAAAAATGTGGAGATCCAGTTAAGAGCGCGCTTTAATATGCCGTAGGTCAAGTACAAGTACAAGTGGAACAGGAACCATAGGAGAATCCCATGGAAGTTCCATTGTGGAAGCGTCGTTGATCCGGGGTGGATTCCGGTGTTTCATTTTGTCTTCTGAGTGTACAACCGGCACGCGTGTCACACTGCGGTTAACCAATCAATGCCCATGTGTCCTGCAAGAGCAGTCGCCGCTGTGCCGGTCACTTAAAATGGAAATAAAACAAAAGGAAAGGAAAAGGAAGGAAAGGAAAAGGTATAACGTAAAATAAACGCTGGAAATCAAAATAAAAATACAGAAATGGAGAACTGAAGGACCGACGTATACTCAAAGCCTCACAACGTCGAGTAATGAAACTGGTCCGAGGTCTCAAACACCTAGATTATCCGCAATGATTTCACTGCCTGGGTCTCTACTCGCTTAAGTACCGACATCTCCAGGGCGACCTGATCCTTGTATTTATTATCTTATACATCCCTGCAGCCACCGACTCACACTGTATCAATTGTGCTCCCACCTACGTGGCCACTCATAGGCTCACACATCAGCACAGTCGGCTGAACTGCAGAAGACACTTCGCTCTGCGAATCTGCCGACCGTGAAATGCTCTGTCTGCCGATTTAGTCTCGGCACCTACTGTGGTGGATTTTAAGACCCGCCTGGACTGTCATCTGGCCGAGCTACGCCGCGATAGTTTCTGAGACAGCTACCTTCTACTTGATAGAATTTTGTTTTGTGGTTCTCTTCTACCTAATTCCTTTCCACATCATCATCATCATCATCAGCAACATCAGCCATTTGAACTGATGCTTCGCTGCCATACAACCATGAGGACCTATGAAATAAAGAATAAGAAGAGGGAGAGAAAGGGGGACTTACCTGAAAACCTTAATGCCCTAAGCAAACATTCTGGGTCAAGGCGCCTACACCTTGTGTAGACAACATACCGTCACAAACAGCTGGCTATCGTGCAAACATAAGGCGGCATCGGCGAGACAGCTTCCTTGCGGTTTTCACTGCCACGCGTCATAATCAGCCATTACCCCGCAGATAACTCAACACCAAACATACTTTAAACAGGCAATCCGGTTAGAAGACGGCAGCAGACGCGCCACTGGTGTCGGTTGCGAGCCATGTCCTGCAAAGTCTCGAGCCAAGCAGAAGGTGAGTCACGTGGACTCCAACCCGGAAGGCGAGACGGACCAACGGCACCCAGTTTGGTCGTCAGTGACTTCATTTTCCACTGCCAAGTCAACTTCTGTCCACCTCGAGCCTTGCACCATCCTACACCTGGTAGACTGAACAAGGCCATCCTAAGTAAGCGGCGACCAGGCATGCGTAGCACGTGCCCGAGCCAACGCAACTTATTCACTGCTATCTGTTGTTCTAGGGTGCCAACATGATTATCACTACCTAGTACTCGCCTACGCACATCATCCTTGCGGACACGTTGGTGCCATCTGATGCCAGCAATGCTTCGCAGACAAAGATAATCAAAGACTTGAAGGCGCCTGATCTTCAGACCGAAGGGGCCAAGTCTCACTACCATACAGCAGAACGACTCTTACTGTGGCCTTGTATATACGGCCTTTCAGACGGAGGGAAACTCCCTTCTGTCGCCAAAGATGACGCAGGTTCAAGAAGGCAGCTCTGGCCTTTGCAATGCGTGAGCTCACGTCAGTTTCTATGCGCCCATCATTGCTGATGCAGCTGCCAAGATAAGTGAAGTCATCAGCCACCTCGAGTTCCTCGTTAGCGTCCAGGGGTCATCAAGTGGCTGGTGGTCCTGCAGCAACACTTCGCACTTTGAAGGTGCGAAGTGCATACCAAATAATGGGACCACTCTGGACAGGCTATTCAGGGTTGATTGTGCCGCTGCAAAATCGTCGAAAAGCAAGATGATATCGTCCGCATAATCTAGGTCAACTAAGCTTTCACCAGGCAGCACTTCAACGCCTACATCGTTGGATTCCGTCAGGGAACATTCCATGTTAGAATCCACGACGAAATTGAACAGAAATGGTGAAATCGGACAACCCTGACGAACGCCACTTGTAGTTGAAAAGCTATCCGATAGGACACCATAGACCCTGGCGCGGCCTGTAGTGTTCGAGTATAGAGCACGTAGGATGTTCACATATTTCGTGGGAACACCTTTCCGCGCAAGTATTTCGAACAGAATCGATCGATCGACTGAATCGAACGCACTCTTGAAATCGAGGAACACAGCTATTGTCGGTCTGCGGTATGCGTGGCGCTGCTCTAGGACGTGCCGTTTCGGAGGATATGGTGGGATGTCACGCTTTGAGCCGGCGTGCATTCTCGTTAAATGCTGCATAAGCCCGATGAAAATAGGGCTAACACGCTAGTTCATCCTGCTATCAGGTTGCGTGGCCTTTGATCAAACTGACTTTTTCTACCCTATGGGTAATGTAAAGCCCGAGCTTTTGTTCCCATTAGATACAATGTTCCAATGTAAAGGGAAAAAGTTGCGGCTGCAAACCGGTGTCAAGACGGTTTTCAACCGTCTTAACCGTCGGTGCCAACAATACATCCTCAGGCAGGTCATCCCAAGATTCAATTACGCTACACGATAACAGGACATCAGCACTCACCGGATCGGATCGAGGTTTGTGAAGCATTGTTGGAGGCACACGAAGTGTCGGAAATCAAACCGGAAGGAAAAGGTGAGTTAGGTCCGGACTAATCTGACACGATAAGATGCGATAGGTAAAAATTAGAGCGCCTCGGTGAAGCCGATAGTGCGGGGAAAAATACCTAGACTAAGAAGTCTATCAGAATATGGCACACGTCGTGGCCTATGCACCATTTTGGTGCCATGTTGTCCCACACTAAGCAAGGGGGCAGGCTTTGGCGCAGTACTCTAATTGGGGTCTAATGAAAGCCGCATAATTAGCAAATATTTCGCCCGTTAGGATTTCAAATGATCTACGGATCATCCACAGCATACTGAATCACTTGGAAGAAGCCTTTGGCGAGTTGGCGCTCGACTTGAGATTCGATATCAACGTGACACCTAGGTCGATTTGCTGGGATAAGCGTGACACTTCGTTGCCCCCTAGAAAGTAGGGGGTTGATGGGCCACAGTCAAAGTAGTTAGCAGTTGGACATGGAATACGGGGGAATACTTCGAACAAAAAGGTAGATGTAGGACAATGAGGGAATGCAAACAAGGTAACTAACTTTTCTTTAAGTTTCCAATCTTGTAAATGGCGCTAGGGCGCTCATTCGTCAGGACACCTAGAAAATACCAGACAAGTTGGCCACTGTGTACAAGACCAAGATAAACTGAATAGGCACATGTGAAACAACGTTTAATTACCTCCACCACCAACGCCAGCAGGAAATGCAGCCGCACCTGTTAGGAACACAACTATATGGTTAACATTGTCTAATGGAGCCAGCTGCAAAATGAATTTGTTGTCCGAGAGGCAAACGAAATCTGATTGAACCTGAAATGATGACAGGTAAGTAAAAATCTTACTAGCCGGCCGGAGACGATGGCAGCAAACATTATAGAACCGAAAAATGCGAAGGCAAATCACTACGAAAGAGAAAAGATGCACAAACTGGGATTTCACGCCATGAAGGTCAGATACAGCCTTGAGAGGGTCAGGTCAAGTCCGAAGGACAAAATAGTTTCTGCCTAAGAAACCATTTGTTTCTTCAGAACCTTTAGCAAAACTCCGTTAGTTTAAGTTTCAGTCTCTTTACTTGCCGCTACAAAAGCGCATAACATATATTTTCTTGAATCCTGGACCTTGAAGTTCAAGTTCAAGTTCAAGTGGGACTGGAACGATAGGATGAATCCCGTAAGTGTTCCTTCTTGAGCGGGTCGTCGATCCAGGAGTTGATAGGGGTGCTCCGACTTCTTGATGGGTCTAAAACGAAGACACCCGAAAAACACCCTGGTCCACCAATTTAATGCCCACGTTCCTAACATTAGCTGTCCCAGCTGTGTCAGTTACGTGAAGTAAGTAAAATAGGAAGGAGAGTCGAAGGTAAGAGAGTAGGGGAAATCAGTTAAAAGAAGAGAATAATACCAATGACGAGGAAAAGCAAAGAAAATAGAATCGAAGTATGAAGATGGGAATTTGTCAGGAAAACGGAAAGGTTTCGTGTTGCCACCCAAGAGCATCTAGTTGACGCTCAAACCCCTTAACCGTAGCTTCCTTGACAACATTTTCTGGAAGCAGGTTCCAGCGCTCGATGACTCGACGCGATAAGCGTGTCTCCGCTCTAACTCGATCGGACCGCGGTTTGTCCAGCTTCATACAATGCCCGCGGAGACCAGATAATCTAGCAGGACTAAATAGCATGGACAAATCAGGGCCAACCTTCCCAGTCAAAATACGGTAGGTTAGGATTAGGTCCCCTCTAATTCTTCGGTAGTGCATTGACTGCATTCCCAAACTAAGTAGGCGTTCGGGGTACGTTTGCCCTCGTAATCCCTTGACCAACCTAGTACCGACACGCAACACCCTTTCTAGTGCCATTTTGTCCCGGACAAGGCATGGTGGACAGGCCTGGACGCAATATTCTAGGTGGGGTCGCACAAACGCTGAGAAGAGCTTCACAAACACATCAGCGGTTAGGGTCCCAAAAGAACGACGGATAAACCACAACATTCGGAACCCTTTACTAGCCGCCTTCTTCCAGTTGTCTCCAGAGTGTAATGTGGAACAGTGGACGACACCTAGATCAACCTGATGAGTCACGTGAGGAAGTACAGTCCCATCGAGCACATAACTTGTGGAGGAATCAGACGCTCCGATACGCAGCACTGAACACTTTGCCCGGTTTATAGGGAGCAACCACAAGACAGACCATTCCCAAAGTTTATCCAGAGCCCGTTGAAGAGCCATAGGACCTCCAGGGATATCAACAATATTCCAGAGCTTTAGGTCATCTGCAAATAAAAGCGATTGTACCTCAAGCTCCTCCGGCAAGTCATTCACGTAGACTGAGAAAAGCAGCGGACCTAAGACCGCCTTGCGGAACGCCGCTAAGCACAGCCTGTCGAAACGATAGACTGCTTCCCACACGAATACACTGTTCCCGTCCATCCAGAAAAGCTGACACCCACTGGAGAGCACGACCAGCTATTCCATACGACCTCAACTTCAGCGAGAGACGCGAATGGGGGACAGTGTCAAAGGCCTTGGCGAAGTCAATGAACACCACATCCACCGCATGTCCACTGTCTACGGCTTCAGCCCAGCACTCTCGAGCTACCAGCAAGTTCGTCTGACACGAAAATCCTTTGCGAAAACCATGTTGCTCGACGCTAAGCAGGTTAAACCTACTTAAATGGTTCTCCACTGTATCTCGTACTATTTTTTCAAGTAACTTAACGACCACGCTAGTCAAGCTGACAGGCCTGTAATTAGCCGGTAGCTCTTTGTCACCGCACTTGAAAATCGGGCAGACAACAGCCTCCTTCCATTCGGTAGGCAAGATACAGCTGTTGAGTGACTTCTGAAACACACAAGTCAGAGGTCCACTGAGTTCCCCTGCCAATTCGTGCAACGATTTTGGATGAACAGAATCTGGCCCAGAAGCCTTAGTTGGGTTCACCTCTTTTAGCAACCGGAGAACTTGGGACTCCGTTACAGGAATTTCATCCAGACAACAGTCCTCAGGGACCCTTGGAACTAACTCTTTGCATGGCGTATTTGCCTCGCGGACAAAGACGCTTGAGTACTGCTTACCAAGCACGCATGCCTTGTCATAGTCGCTATAGGCATGGGTCCCATCTCCTCGAAGCAATGGTGGAATGGGCGAGTTTGCACCACAGCGTCGTTTAACGTAAGCAAAGAATCTCTTGGGATTTTTCGAAGCAGTATTAGCTAAGCCCTTTTCATACTGAAGCCGGGCCAACCTAAGGTGCAGCTTGCACTCATTTCGAACCAACCGATACTTGTCAAACGTGCTGTTTGATGGAGCTGTTCGGTAAGCTCGCCAGCATCTAGACCGCTTCTTTAGCAGGCCCTTCCCCGCGGAATCTATCCACGGAGGCTGCGCTCTCGATTCCCTTCTTTTTACCAGTGGGACGTGAGGTGCAGAAATGTCGACGAGGTGAGCCTTAAGCTTTTCCCAGGCTATGTGAACAGTGTCGGTCTCAGATATCACACAAGGCGATGACCTAGCTCTATCTCGCATCGCTTGGAAGTCCGCGGCCCAAATGTTCGGATACCAACTGGTAGTAGCTTGGCAAGACCTGATAAGAGCACATTGGAAAGACAAGCAAACGTGATCGCTAGCGCCAAGAGGCGAGTCATATTTAATGTCATTTACAAAGTCAAGTGACTTAGCAAAAACAAGATCTAAAATGGACGGCTGCTGATTGCTCATGTACCTAGTGGGGTGGTCCACGAACTGGTGTAGTGGTACCTGCAGCGTCAAGTCCAGCAGTTCTGTACCGAACGATTCCAGCGTCGAACTGCAAGATAGATCATCCCAACAAACATCTGGGAGGTTAAAGTCTCCCAGCACCAGACACTTGTTTGCAGAGTGAGTGCGTATAAAGTCAATGATTCCATTGGAAGTGCTCATAGGGCTTCTATACACTAACACAACCGTAACCTGAACCGAGGAAGCGCAAATCAAGACTGCGAGAGCCTCAACAGATTTGTCGAGAGACTGAAAAACGCTGGTCCTCAATACGTCGATGTGATAACTCACATAAAGAGCTACACCACCCCCTTGACGGCCAGTGGAGCGATCAGCGCGGAACAGTGCGTAGCCAGGCAGATATACTTCGCCATCTGTGATTTCCTCAGACAGCCACGTTTCAGTGAAAGCAAGTATATCTGGACGAGATTTGTCTACGAGCAGACCCACCTCGCACATTTTGTTCCTCAGGCTACGCACGTTACTAAGTACTACTTGGAGTGTTTCGGCCCGACCAGCCCTGGGTCGTGCGCAATTAGTATAGGTTCTGGCAGGGCGGAAAAGGACCGCCGGCTGACCACCTGAAAACCCACCAATCGGAGACCTTGCTCGCCAGGTTGCTCGTCCAAGTTGGAGTGCAAGTTGGGTTGGGACTGGAACGATAGCAGAATCCCATGAGCGTTCCATCTTGCGTGGCTCGTTGAGCCATGAATTGATGAAATTCTCAGAATTATTGATGGATCTAAAACGGAACACTCGTATCGCACCCTGGCCAACCAGTTAACGCCCACGCGCCTGCCCTAGCAGTTCCTGCCGTGGCAGTCACTTGAAGTAAGCAAACGATAGGAAGGGAAATCGTAGGAACATAATAGGTAAAGGCACTTAAAATAAGAAATAATATCAATGCGTGAAGAAAAGTAGCGAAAACCTAATCGAAGTACGAAGATGCGTGTTACTCAGGGCCATGGAAATGTTTCTTGTTGCCGCCCAAGAGAATCAAGTTGCCGCTCAAACCCCTTAACCGTAGATTCCCCGACAACATTTTCCAGCCCTCGATGACTCTGCGTGATAGCCGGATTTTCGCCCTAATCCGATGGGACCACGGTTTGCCCAGCTTCAAGGAATGACCCCGTAGAGCAGGCAATCTAGCGGGTCTGAACACCCAAGATAAATCTGGACCAACCTTCCCATTTAAGCTACGGTAGGTTAGCAGTAGGACTCCTCTAAGCCTTCGGTAATGCAGTGAATCCGTTCCCCAACTAAGTAGACGCTCGTGGTACGTCCGTCCCCGTAATCCCATGACCAACCTAGTACCCACCGGTGAACAATCTCTAGCTCCATTTTGTCCCGGACTAGGCATGGTGGACAAGCCTGGACGCAGTATCCAGATAAGGCCGAAGGAAAGCAGGGACGAGTCTCGTAAAGATGCCCCCGTCAAGACTACGAGAGAACGTCGTATTACCCACAACATGCAGAAACCTCTGCTTGCGGCCTTCTTCCAGTTGGCACCGGAGTGTAAAGCCGAAGGGTGTACGATGCCTGGGACAACCTGACTAGGTACACGGGGGAGTTCGACCCAACCGTGCAAGTACTTCGTAGGAGGACAACCTCCTCCAATTCGAAGAACGAAGCGCTTTGCTTGATTTATGGGCTGTAACCATAAAGTAGACAAGGCCCAAAGCTGTTTCAGTGCTCGTTGAATAGCTTCGGAACCCCCAGGAACGTCGACAATGTTCCACAGCTTCAGGTCATCAGCAAATAGCAGCCACGGTATCTAAAGCTCCGCGGGATGGTCACACACCTAGCTGGAGAACAGCAGCGGTCCAAGGACCGAGCCCTGCGGCACGTCACTGAGGACAGACTGCCTACACGATAGGTCCCGGCCTATCTGTACACACTGTTCTCTACCCTCAAGAAGACAGTCACCCGATAAATGGCGCGGCCAGATATCCCGTAGGAGGTCAGCTTATGCGCGAGCCTCAAATAAGGTGCCTTGTCAAACGCCTTTCGAAAAGTCAACGAAAAGCACGTTCAGTGTGTTGCCGTTAGCCACTGCATCCGCCCAACTTTCGCGAGCCAACCGTAGATTCAGCAGACACGAAAATCCTTCCGGAATCCGGATTGTTCGTTGCTAAGTAGATTAATTCTACTCAGCTGACTCTACAATGAAGCTTTTGTCAGTTTCGCGTGGAGTTTGACTACTA